TATTCTCAACATTACCGACAAAGGTGGATGCCCCTGCGACTAATCTACCATGTGCCCCAGGTTCTCTCGCCGCGATAGCTGCCTTACGAGAAGGATAGCAGGGTGTGACGGAGACGGACGGTTGGCCTTGCGCAAGCGAGGACATGTCTGCACCTAAGTGGTTCGATGCGCCGGGAAAGACAACTCCAATGTACGATCTATTGAAATACGTAGGAAGTCCTTCGCCGAGCCCATCGGTGGGCGTCAGTTTAAAGTCCGAGCTCACTTCAGACCGCCCCGAAAACCCTTCTCATTCTTCTTGGGATGCTTGGCCTTCCGATGTTCAGGAGTCCACACAGGCGCTTCGGCCTCAGAGACGCCCTGTTCAATGCAGGTGCGGCACTTGTCCCCATTCAGATTCAGGTTTCCCTTGGAGCCCTTGTTGGAGCCTTTCCCCCCTTTGCCTTTCTGCTTCTTGGGGTTCGGTGTAGGCCCCGCAAGATCACGCTTCAGAGGCAAACGGATATAGGGCTTCTCAGCCGCAATAAGGTCTTCAATGGTAATGACAGGTTTGGCCAACAAGGTATCAACACTTTCCACCACCTTGCGATACTGGCCTGGTCCCAAGGTGAGAAAGGCGCACATCGTAGCTGGGTCCTTGATCTTAAGGAAGAGATCCTTGAAGACAGGGTCGGCGGCCCAAGCGTCGGCCCACGCCCGCTTGACTTGATAGTAGTCGGGAGCGACGGAGTCCCACTTGCGCCCCTTCTGTTCTGCCCAGCCTTCGAAAAGGTGCAACGAAGCCTTTACTCGCAACAGGTGATGAGCGTCANTCGGGAGCGACGGAGTCCCACTTGCGCCCCTTCTGTTCTGCCCAGCCTTCGAAAAGGTGCAACGAAGCCTTTACTCGCAACAGGTGATGAGCGTCACTGAGCGCTTCCGGATGACCATACGCAACAAAGAAGGCTTTCCTCACCTCCTCAAGGTTGGTAGGTACCAAAGGACAAACAGCCCTAAAATAGTCAGCCTCCCGATCCAACAAACTGTTGGCGACCTTATGCTTAACCAAGTACGCCCGGATAGCATCCTCGTGTCGGCCCGAAGATTTGGGCACAGCCGTGATGCACTCTTCGAGGAAGGTGTGCGCCTCAGCNCGTATCGGCCCGAAGATTTGGGCACAGCCGTGATGCACTCTTCGAGGAAGGTGTGCGCCTCAGCGGCCTTCAACAGCGAGAAGCTAATCGGATCGGTGCTAGGCCACAGCATGCGGTCAGCGAGACGGTTCTCGAGAGCAAGATTCTTGGCTTCTTCGTCGACGATAGCGGAGATGAGCTCGTACTCCGGCGCCTGCATTCTTGGAAAATGCGTGCTCCCGTAGATAGCCCGTGCCAATTCGCCAGAAATGGGAGGTTTCTTCTGTCTGATCCAAGTCATGACAACCTCACCAAGCCACTTAGCCGGAACCTTGTCGTCGTAGAGGTTAGGCATATTTTCCTCCAAGACCATCTCTTCAAGAGTGAGTCGCTGGTTGGGGTTCAGGTCTTCCCCAACGGAAGGAGTCTCTTCGGTAGTAGACATCCGATAGGCTCTGGATCAATTAAAGCGCCACGCTACCAAGTGAGGGAAGAAGGTAGTCGATAGTCGTGTATAGTGATGATTACGTAACCCTATCTAAGAAAGGTGTCCCGAATACAGCCACAGTAAGACTAGGTATAAAACCAGATGAAGTCTAGATGTGGCGGATTCAACCCACTTATATGCATAAGTCGACACCACCCGCTCCTACAACGCCGTACGGGCTTCGCCAGTCCGCGAATGAGCGGGGTGCCGTTCATGCGGCTTACGCGATAGTCCGCGGTCGCATCTCTTACCACAACTGCTGCAAACATCGCAAGTTGCTTTTAGAATCCACAAGTCATTGTTTAGATTGAAATAAAGATGGAACATAGCTACGCTGAAACATAATCAACGTGGTGTCCGGATTGCCTATAATGGGAGGATTTGAGCCCAAAGCTTTATATGCCTCGATTTGGTGTAAAATCAGGTTTTGAGCTCATTCCGAGCGCTCCCCACACTTTAAGTTTTAAAAGCCAGTTGGATCGATCTGACGGATAAGACGTGGCCACTCACGGTTTTAGACATTGTGTGTTTTCGAATCGTCTAGTCCCAACAACTTCCACTTCAACCCCACTAGATTCGAAGAATCGGCCTGGCCCACTGAGGTCAAAGTTGTTTAGCAATATCACCGAGCATATGAATTTCCTCCCTGTGAATGCCACACCTCAGATCACTGACGCTTATTCCCTCCCAGTCAACGCTACTGCAGGGCCATCAACCCGGCTCTTGAGCAATCGTTGGGCATCCGCAACACCCTTCACATCACCACCGATCGCTCCCTGGAGATGAGAGAAAAGGCGCGTACTGCCAGAAGAGTGTTTATTAAGCGTTCATTGACTGGACCAATGTCGTGAACTAATATACTTTATTAGTGGATACTAACTCCCGGTTGAATACATACTGTTTGCCTAACTTACTTCCGATAAATCCTGACTATTAGCAGCTCCTTACCGGTGGAGTCAACCAACCCTAGCGCCAATTCTGGTCATTAAGTTTTACTTCAGCAAACAGTCTAACCTGTATTTTAACCCATGATGAATGTGTGTATCGCTGCCAACTAGTTTATCATCGCATCTGGAGAAATTATGTGAAGTGCAAAGATCAGATTTTTTCATGAAGCTCATTGACACCGTTTTGCACTCGTCTTTTACAATCAAAAGCAATCAGCCCAATTCTAATTCAGCTGACTACATCCCAAATTTGTTCAATCTTACTTGTTGATATCTGATGATACCAGCAGCATTCAATGGTATGAGGACTAATCCAAAGCCTATGAAGATACAAATAATGCGTGACTAATCATGTAAAACGTGAAATTGAAACTCTTTGCCATTATCTTCAATCATACTTGTAGATAATTCTCTAATAAAAATTTCAAGAAAGCTTCGCTAGCTCAGTCGGTAGAGCGTCAGTCTCATATTCACAATGTGGATGAGATATCTGAAGGTCGAGAGTTCGAACCTCCCGCGGAGCATTCCATTTTTTAAATTTTCAACCGAATCGGTGCCGGTAACGGCGTAAAAAGCAACGCGATGGCACGTGCCTGAGCCGTTAGGTAAATATATGCAAAATTTTGTTATCAGATAGCGGAACTTATCATGTCGCTTAGCGTGAAGCCGTCACCAACTGTTTCGCCGGCTGTTCAACTCAAACTGAAGGATAACGCTGAAAATGTCAGCACCCTCGGAGGTTTTATTGCTGGTGGTATGGCCGCCTGTGGGGCTGTTACATTTACCAATCCGATTGAGTTGATCAAGACTCGAATGCAACTTCAAGGGGAGCTTGTCAAAAAGGGTGCTGAGGGGGCAAGAACTTATAAAAACCCACTCCAGGCTCTTGTTGTGATCTACAAAAATGAGGGTTTAAAGGGTCTACAACAAGGGTTGTTTTGCGGCTACTATTATCAAATCTGTCTCAATGGTTGTCGCATAGGGTTGTACGAACCTCTGAGATACTACTTAACGAAGTTGTTTCTTCCCGAACAAATCAAGGATGACGTTCCTATTCCCCAAAATGTTCCTGTCAACGTGGCTGCTGGGTTTGTATCAGGTGCCGCGGGTGCTGTGTTGGCTTCCCCATTCTTTTTGATCAAAACACGCATGCAGTCTTATAATAAAGCTGCTGCGTCTTCAGGTAACCTGGCCGTTGGTCAACAAACATACTACAAGAATGCATGGGATGGTATTCGTTCGATTTACCGCACGGAAGGTTTTCGTGGTCTTTATAGAGGCGTTGATGCTGCTGTTCTTCGTACGGGTGCGGGTTCCATGGCACAATTGCCGATCTATAACTATACGAAACGCTTCTTGCTTAACAAAAACTTGATCACGGAGGAAAACAAGGTTCCGCTTCATTTTGTATCGTCACTGATGGCTGGCCTCGGTGTTGCTGTAGTGATGAACCCATGGGATGTGATTTTGACGCGGGTGTACAATCAGAAGGGTAACTTGTATAAAGGACCGATTGATTGCTTCGCCAAAACTGTGAGAAGTGAAGGTGTTATGGCGTTGTACAAGGGCTTCTGGGCTCAATTATTCCGGATTTGGCCCCATACCATCTTGACCTTGATGTTCATGGAACAACTGATGAAGTTCATGGTGCATGTAGAAAGTAAGTTTGGACGCTTGTCTTGATTATAGAAATTTTATAGATGTATATATTTGGTGTTAAAGGATAACAAAATCGCAGCGTCGCTGAATTACACTGTCTCTTACTGTGGTCTTTGTATGCCTGTTTATTTGCGATTTGACGTCCCTTGTTACATAATGTTTTTTCCTGTATGTAAGTCGCGATCACACCCTACTTTTTTCTCAGTATAGTGGCGAACACTACCAGATCAGTGTCTACCTGAGAATACAAGCCTTTATCGAGTGTGTGCTTTGTTTCATATAGTGCCTTACATGCGGGACTCCAACTTCCGGGCAGTCGCCACCAACAAGGCTTCGTTGACGATCACACTGAGCATGTATGATCGTCGAGCACTCGATGTCCCCAGTGACAAACCCCTCGTGAACCTGTTGAACTATTTGACGTACCTTGTGTCATCTTCACCCAAAGTGCGGGAAACTTTGGCTAATGATGGCGGTATCGAGCGGCTCATTGAAATTTTACATGAGTGCCACAATTCGACGTTCAATTCTGAGGATACAATTTTCAACGCAGACAAGAAAGTATTAGTTGGATGGAAGTGGACGCTTGCTTTTCAATGTTTGGTGCTTGTTGGAACTAGGGGTACTGAGAAAATCCGTCAAAAGGTTGTGCTGGCAGGGATTTTGCCCATAATCGCCACGGTGCTCGACAATTATTTGTCACTCAATGAGCAACTTTGGAAGCATAATCCAGCGGCAACTCCCACTCTTCCTCCAGGATCAAGCATAGAATCAAACTCAAGGCCGGTGGTGCCAAGTGAATTCTCACTAGCGAACCTCGAGCTACCGATGAACTTGGCACCTGCTGCTGCGGCGGCAGCAGCTGAACCATCAGTGATGCCATGTTCGAAGACATTCGATTTGTGCGGCGACTTTGGTCTGCGTCTCACTTGTGACGATTACGATAGCTTGTCAGTGAAGCAATTGCTCAAGCTTATTGGCTTGAACGATACGAGTTACACAAGTGACATCCGTCGAAGGTATCTTATCGCAATAATCTTGAAGAAGCTCCATGAAAGCAAAGAAGCTGATCCTTTGGATATTGATGCTATACCCCACCATGAATACAGCATGGATGTTCATCTTCAATTTTTGTGTGATTTATATTTGGAAACTGCTGGACAGTCTACTTCGGTTCTGCCTGAGCATGGACCAGGACTGATACCTCGAAATAATAATCATGTCGCAGCATCCAAAATGGCGGTTCGGAACTTCACTGAAACAGGCGTTATTATACCACAAGACGACGATATCATTTGGTCATTGCAATTACTTGCATACATTAGCAAATACCCCTATCTCAAGGAAGCGCTTCAAAATACCCACTTGATAATTGAAATGAGCATACGTGATAAGCATTTCAAACACTATTTAGAAAACCAGAGGAAGTTGACGATGAAGAAGACATTAGAGCTTCAATTACGCCCGCCCATCCCTTCAAAGCTGCAAAACTTGCGGACGCAAAGATTTGAGCAACAATGCTCCGATGCGTCGGTACCAATGGATGAGGAGTTGGAACTATCCGTATTGGAAGATCTGGAATCGGAATTTGAGCTGGACTCTCTGGCGGTGCCGCCACCGGTTCCAGTAGTTGAAGCAACACCTCGCAGCCTTCAGTTTCTGGGACTCCTGCAATTGTACGACTCAATTGCGAAAGCAGAACTGATTGAAAATGACTTAGAGCGGCAATTTGCTTTATGTCAAGTCACGCAGAAAATTGACGAGACTGTTGCTTCAGAAACAATTCGACTTAAGTCAACGATAACGAAGAAACGGCAGGAAACCAAGGATTATTTGAATGATAGATGGAATTATGAAACTTATCAAGGATTTGACGTTGATGATCTTGAAGATCAGGACGAGCTGTTGATGGAGTACAAACGAGTAAATTTGTTTCCCCTCGTTGAGCGATTCACGTTTCTTCCCGGCACTGACATGTATTATTGGGCCGGGGTCATCATGCGAAATCTGTGTCGTCGAAACGAAGCACGCGGTGGGGTTCGCCAGTGTGGAAATTTGGAATGTGGTCAATGGGAAAAATTTCCACGGGAATTTTCCAAATGCCGCAGGTGCAAGCGAACCAAGTATTGCTCAAGGGACTGTCAAATCAAAGCTTGGAATTGCCACCGGAACTGGTGTATCCCTTCAACCTCTAGCAGTGGCAGTACCTCTACGGATCCTAATGCTTCTGGTGCTGCTCATTCCGCAGATAACTCTTAATATCCGGCATATTAATATACCATTACCTAGAAGAAATGGTTTCCCTTTCACCTCGTAGTCTTATTTACTTTCATGTGGAGTAAAATTCAAGGTAATTGCCCAACCTCAGAATACTTGTTGTTTTAGATTCATACACACGCGAAATGCGCGCACACGTCCCTAATTTTACAAAGCGATGTCAAGAGGGGCGACTGGTTCGCCAGACTTCACCACGACTGATGCTGTCATTCCCGATGCTATTCCGTCTTATACTCCACTCAATCGATATATTCTCCGTGAGTTCGAATCAACTACGCAAGTACCATTGCGGGACGACGGAATCAAAGATGCCGTCCGGTCGCAATTGAATGGGGGTCTACAAGATTTGTTTGCGTACGTTGAATGCTTCTATGAGAACGATTTGAAGAAAGTCGACACAGAGTTGACAGATACGTACTTGGAGATGGCTATTCAAGCATTGAAGGCTCAATTCGACTTGGACATGATGTCAAATGCCGTCGCCAAAGCTCGCGAACAGTTAAAGTCTGATATCAATGAAAACCCTGAGTTGATGTTGGAAACACTCGAGTATTTTGAGAGTGTCGACAAACAAGGTGTATTTAAAACTGTGAAGCAGCGATACCTCGAGGCGATGGCGACGAAGGACACCGATTTCGTTGAGTACCTTGAATCAAACCCCTACTACGAAATGTACCGAAACGCAGCCCAGATAATCATGGATCCCTATCTGGTGATTGCAAATGAAGATAATGATGACGATGTTGGCATTAGTGGTGGTAAAATATCATTGACAGATCCTATATCGATGACCAAGCTCGAAGATCCACAACGGCTGAGAAAATGTGGTCATACCTTCAATCTGGATTACATAAAAAGAAATGTTGGAAGTCGTGGTATTGATTGCCCCATCCCAGGGTGTCTGTATCAGTTAACTAAAGATGATTTTGTGCCTGATATTTCAATGAGACTACGGATAAAAGTAGCAAACGAGAAAGAGAAGCAGGGGAAGAGAAAACCAGTTGATTCTGTTAGAACTCGCGAACTGACCCCAGCTTAGTTAACCTGATACATTGAAGGCTGACGATGTCCCATTGAATTGACTCTACCCGATGCAGTACCGATTTCCCTTGTAGTGTGAATCAGCGGCAAGCGCGACGAAATGAAGAAAAACACGTGAGAAGACATTGGATTACTCTTGAAGTTCTTTGCCGCCACGCTAGCTGCATTGTTTCCACTCGACTCGATTCTCGCAACACACCAAGTCGCGTCGTCAGATGAATGGTGCGTCGAGTTACGATGCGCGCGCGTACCCTTGTTTTCCACGAAAACAGCCGTCGTCAGGATCAAAGCCACGTCCATACAACATCGACAAATTACGTGAACGATCTAATGGGTGTTATATCGTGTGTGTAACTGTTGGTAATGGTTTGCAAGCGAGGTTGATCTTCACGATTTATTTTGTGAAATAATTGGTTTTCGCCAATGAGCCTAGATTGTTCTCAGTTGTTGAACCTCTCCTCGGTTAACTTGACGACAAATATTATGAAGGTGCCTACTTGACGAGGTATATGCCGCCTCTGGAAAATTGCAACCCCTTTCTTCTATTTAATCCTTGCCGATCCTTGTAATTTTCACATACACAAACTATGTTGGCTTCGAACACTCTTGTTGCGTTGGCTTTGGCGTTGGCTTCGGCTTCCGCCTCCATCAATATCAAAGTTGATGCTCACATTGGAAACTTCCGCGGACGTGGAGGTGGCAAAGACAAGAAGAAGCATGACCATGACGATCGCCCTCCCAAAGATTGTGACTCCACCTCGAGTTCCTCCGAGAAACCTTTCTCGAGCTCGAGTACATCGGCTGAGGAGTGCGGTTCTTCCTCGTACGACGGGCAATGGTCGACTTCTTCAGAAACGGAGACCCCTTCGCTGCTGACTGAGGAGACTTCTTCCGCTTCCTGTGAGAGCGAGTCTGTGGCTGAGGAGACCTCTTCTGCTCCCTGTGAAAGCGAGTCTGTGGCTGCCAGCTCTCAGGTTGGCGGTACTTCTTCCACCCCCTGTGAAAGCGAGTCGGTGGCTGAGGAGACCTCTTCTACTCCCTGTGAAAGCGAGTCTGTGGCTGCCAGCTCTCAGGTTGGCGGTACTTCTTCCGCTCCCTGTGAGAGCGAGTCTGTGGCTGAGGAGACCTCTTCTACTCCCTGTGAAAGCGAGTCTGTGGCTGAGGAGACCTCTTCTACTCCCTGTGAAAGCGAGTCTGTGGCTGCCAGCTCTCAGGTTGGCGGTACTTCTTCCACCCCCTGTGAAAGCGAGTCTGTGGCTGAGGAGACCTCTTCTACTCCCTGTGAGAGGGAGTCTGTGGCTGCCAGCTCTCAGGCTGAGGAAACCTTTGCCACTCCTTGTGAGATGGATCTGGTGACTGAAGGATCATCTGCCACTCCTTGTGAGAATGAATTGGCGACTGCGACAATTCCTACTCCTTGTGACAAGGAAACATTGGCTGACGCCTCAATTTATGGAAATTTATCGACTTCTTTCGTTGAGGAAACTACTCGTCGTGTTGAAGAAACCTCTCTGCTCTGTGTTAAAGAGACCTATGCTTCTTCTTGCGAAGAGTCGTCTTCGCCCGGTGCCGAAGAATTGTCCACACCTTGTGAAGAGGAGACAACTGCGCAAAACATGACGATCACCTTGTCAACTATCAAGACTGAAGGATCGTTGTTGCCAACGCAATTGTTGCCTATCGGGTCTGAAGCAACTCAATCTCTTCTTGAGGTTGCAAATGACTGCGCGGAAGTGGAAATCTCGAAAGCCGCCTTGGTCTTGATCATGTTAATGGTAACCTGGTAGTAATCTCATGTCTTCAGGTTGGCATCTGAAAGATATGGTTGATTTTTTTGAGTATAATTGAGTAATTGAATATGATGACAACCTTTAAACGTGATACGCATGTAAGCATCTGCCATACTGGATTAATCAATATATCTACTAATGATCGACTGCGACGAGAAATAATTATCAAGTCTTTGGTGTGTTCTACTTTGATAGCAACTTATGATTTATGAATGCCACTTAACTAGCCCTTACCGGTGCAAGACTTTTTATATTATAGCACTCTTGACTACACCGATGTTGTCTACAAGAAGATCAATAAATCGTTGAATGCTATATTGAATCTCTTCATTCCACGAACACTTATATAACTACCTTTTTCTCTGTGGTACCATTGCATCAGTAGAGAAAATCCCCTTCGTAGGCCTCAGACTGGAATTAAAAAGACAAACATTGCGTCGGCCAGAGTTTTTTGGAAGGTTTCCGTATTCGTTATACTTTGTTTTCAATTGTTCCACAAATCATGATGCATCGGATAAATAATGGTAGGCCTTGTATAGCTACCTTGGGGGCTATAAAACCTCTGGCGCAAAATCTATATTTTCTATCATACTACATGTACCAAGTTTCACTTAGAAAATTTCAAATTCTTTGGTAGTATAACGGTTAGTATTTCCGCTTGTCACGCGGGAGATCGGGGTTCGATTCCCCGCCAAAGAGTATTTTTATGATCCCCCGAGGATGATGACCCGACTTTATGAATATAAGCGGTTTACGTTTTTTAAATATAATGCAAATAATAAATATATAACTAAGTAATGTTTGCTCACCAGCAATTCAACTTGTAGAGCGCATCGTTCGATTGTAACTAACAAGCGTCTGATGAGTTAAAAGCACAACAGAAAGTCATGATCACTTAGGTCGCCACCACTGGTCATATCCTCTCCGTTCACTTTAAGAATGCAGTTTTCTCGCCTGAAGCTTTCGAAGCTATTGAAGCATGACCGACAGGATATAAAATCGATTGCCTGCAATCTCGGTGGCTGTCCAAGTCGGTCGTAGGAAAGATCCTCAAACGAGCAATTCCGGAATATGAGTTGTCGCAACAGCTGTACTGATATAAAGATAGGACTGCGAGACCTCAATATTTCCATGTCAACAAGTTCGACTGATTCCATTTGCGGAGGGAGGAATAGTGAACATGTCAATTCCCAGTCGTACGTTAATATCAATTGCTTGACATGTATGAGATGGCTGAACATATCTTCGTGTAATGAATCCCACGATCTAAGTTCCAAATCAAGATATGAGATTGCCTTCGGCAAAGCGCCATCAATAAAATTAGTCTTCACCAGAAGATTTCGACACTCAGGCATGTCAGTATCAACTAATTTGAAGCAATTAATCTCCACTGTGAATGCATTAATGGTGCATTCTCGTATCTCTTTCCCGGTGATACTGACCTTCTGCGCGTTGATTGTCTCGCCTATCAAAGTAGGGTGGTTGATCACTAATGATGACAACCGTCCGCAGGAGCTGCGTAAAAGAGCACACTTGCTCAAACAAAGTGTGGGCTCCTTCAACTGAGTGTTCTGAAGGAATGAAACAGCCATATTGTCACCACTATTCTTAACAACCGAGTCAGACCCACCAGTCTCCAGTCCCAATACACCGACACTATTTTGATCAGTAGAGCATTCGAGTTTGGTCGCTTGAAGCCGTAAAACAGTTTCGGGAGCTCTTAACGCCAATATTTGAAGGAAGGGACGATACCGGATATCGTCCAAGAATAGCGTGGCCAAAGACAAACGGGACTCCTCATCGAGGAATATCAATAGGTTTCGGAAAACTGAATTTGGCAAACCCACGAAACCTTTAGTAGCACATGACGAAAGTTGTTCAGATGATAGTAAGGGCGGAGATTTCACCTTCGAAAAGGGGAGAATGCTGATCTGGTGGTTTATTTCCAAGCCACATGATTTTCGTCGTTTCATAGAATCGAACACTTTATGGGGACATAATGTGGGAGTTGCCTCTCTTTTGTCGCTTAATATATCTCAACGTTGCCATCGCGGAGTTGCGTCTGGATGATGATGAATCGTGCGTCAATATTTATCGCAAGCCCACTATGAGCTTCGATGCATGATATTTTCCATAGTCGCAGCAAGATCCCGGCAAATTGCAAATTTGGGCCCGAAATTCAAAATTGTCCGAAACGCAGTATGACCCTCGAGTGAAAAAATGGTGTGACAATTAAAGACTATGTCGTGCTATTTGAATGACTTCCACTGTCTGCTTACATGAGCAGACACAAATCATGTGACGAATGTGACTTATTATGTAGTTACGTTACACCAAGCGGCCGTAGTTGGGATCTAATTCCCATCCCATTTGTCTGGCGACGGTGAACACGCCGTTCTTCGTCTTGGTGATGAGGACCTTGGCGAGACCTTGCGTTTGTTTCTTTGCTTGAGGGTTGTCGTTGTGGTGGGGGATGAGGTTTTCGTGGGCACTCAAACTTACAAAGAGAGCGAACGGAATCAACCACACCAACAACCCGAAAAATGAGCACACTTCGAGGAAACTGGGCACGTGAGGCGGCTCGTAGTCGGGCTTGAGACGCTCGTCGAGCGACGGGATCCGCGGGTTGTGGAAGTAGTTGAACCAGAAGAAGTGGTTGAGCACAACCAATGCGCACAGTCCCAAGAAGATTGGCGACGTAAGCTCAACGTAGGGGAACCGGTTGAGATTCTGGAGGTAAACGAAATATGAAACGATGCTGAATAATGACAACCAGAAGGGAAAGCGGTCGATGATCACCAACGCCACGAATATCCCCATGATCGCGTAAATCATCTTGCGCAATATGCGTTTGGTGGGCTCAGTGTGTTCTTCCACAATCTCCAGGACGTAGTAGAGCCCCAGCGCAATGGCTAGCACGAGAAACACAAAGCCGATCACGGCTCCAATGTAGGATATAAGCTCTAGAAGCATGGCCGTCTATGTGGTGGTCTCCGAATTTCTCCGCGGTGCGAACGAGACGTGTTCGCAGATATCGCGTCTTCACCCGTCATCATGGGTTTAATCTAAAAGTACACCCCTTGAACGTTCACAAGAAAACCCAGGAAAAATTCTTGCAGTGCTTCCGCCGGAGTTGCAGAAAGTTAAAGTTAGGTGTGGTATATAGAAGGTCAAAGAAGGTGGTAGATCCATATCATGCATGGCTATTCTCTGTGGATGATCACTACAGTAGAGTTCTATGGGACGAAGTTATGCATTAACAATTAATCATAGATTTCAATGGGAGGTACCCGGTCCAAAGACTGGTACCAGTTGTCGGCATCGAGTTCCTTCAGTAACCATTCCGACAGGAAGTGGACCAAGTGGCCCTGGATCTCCGTGAGGAGACGTTCCGCCGAGTCACGCTCAAACACCCGGTTGCCGTGTAATTGGCGGCGGATGCGCCGCTTCCGCTTGCGCTTGCTCTTCACCGGCACTGGGTGCGGTGCCACCGTCAGGTCGGTGCGATGGGTGATGGTTTCGTCCAGCTCTTCCTCTTCGTTGATGACGTCAGGGTGAGGTTGTGATCTCAGGGCAAGACCGGGTCCGAGCACTCCGCCGCCGTCATGCTTGAACGAGATGAGCAGGTTTTTACGGTCGAATCCCGGGCGGTATTGGGGACCGCTGTCGTCGTCCTCCAGATCCAGAGTGACCTCGCCCATCACGTTCTTTTTCACTCGGTACTTGGCTTCTTGTTCCTGCGAGATCATGAACGCCTTGTTCAACTTGCTGTGATCCTTGTACTCAACCCAGGTACTCACCTGGTCGTCAGGCTGACAATGGAACACCAAGCGGAAAAGCTCGGTGTTGCGGCGAGCCATGTCGCTCCACATGTCCTCGTAAAACTCATCGCAAATGGGGTCGTCAAATGCGTAGGGGTCAACCCACCGCGAGAAGTTATCGATGGTGTAGTCATTAACTTGGTCGATAAGGTCACGGGCTTCGCCTTCGGTCAATTTGACGATGGGTACCTGGTCTTGCAGAACTCTTTCCTTTTCCATCGACTTGTCCTTTTCTTCAACCACGGAACCATTGACGGTATCAACTTCAGCCACCCCGACCTCCGCCGGTTCCGGCAGAGCACTCTTGCTGTTGTTGGATCCACCAGGAATGTGCACCGTCGCGGGTAAACCAGCGGCCAACCGTCTCTTGGCTTCTTTATCCTCATCTTCCTTCACCTTAGCTGCCACTCTCTGGAGGTACAGAATCCGCTTAAGGAGTTGCCAACGCTCAACATTGCGTTCGTAGATGATTTGCGCCAGTTCAGCGTCCATCGGGTCAACCATATCGGCATCGTCAGCCTCCAAGAAGTCTTGGACGGTGGTGAGATCAGGCAAAAATTGTTTAGTGGGATTCTCAAGCATTTGCTTATGGGCAATCTCCCGCAACAACTTCCCTGCGTAAAGGCGAGCCCGCTTGGCTAACTTCAGGCGGTACTTATCGAGACCTTCACCCATCACATCCTTCTTCTTGTCCGGATTGTTTTGCACTCGCAGATCGTACAGATGTTTCTTCTTATCGCGGATACCCTTGTTGGCTTCGTGTGAACCCGTGCGGTTATTGAACGATACCGTGAGAGGAATTGGGGTGGGCAATTCATCATAGTCAAACACTCCCTCGTCGAGATTATCTGGCATCTTCGCCTGATCGTGGCGGTGATGGTGCTGCTGGTAGTGGTGCCATCTTGGCGTACCTTCAGGCATCTGCAAGATGTCACGCAGCGCAAGCTCAACCGCAGCCAGCATTCTGGTGTATTTGCGGTCGGGGTACAGACCAGTGGCGGCGGCCATGCCTTCGCTGGTTCCAGCGAATTCTTCGAACTTCTGGAAACGACGCTCCACCAAGTCCAAGATATCCACTGACACCCCCAAGTGCTCACGCATAAGTCTCAAACGCAACGTGTGAGGGAACTTGCCCACTTTGTACGGTTGTCCATTCATCGTGGTGTCAACGGTATCGGTATCTCTCACCACCGCACACACTTCGGAGTCACGCAACCCTCTCATCAGCCGCTCGTTGATGTTGGCCAGCCCGATGATGGCGGCACGGTCATCCACCACCATCGTCTTGGCGTGAATGTACAATTGCTCGGTGACCAAGTTGCGGTCGGGACCAATACGCCCCCATTTCCGCAACGAGAAGAACTGTATGTAGTCATCGGGATCGATGCCCACTTTACGCAACTTGGCAAATATCAGCAGCGTCCCCCGCAGAATCAGGTAGAATTGGCATTGCATGATCACACGAACCAGCAGCCCTTCCGTCTCGTCGATCTCGGCGGGGAAACCCGGCATGAGCGGGATCACGATAATCGCCTTCCACTTTTTGCCTTCACGGTGAGCCCGAATAATCCGCTCGACGAGAGCATCACCAAGACGGTTCTTGATGATCGTGCCCTGAATCTCACACAGGGTAATGAAGAACTGGTTTTCTATGTAGACAAAGTGCTCCAGAGTCTCAATGAGCTTGAGGTAAGCATTTTGAATCAGCTGCTCGTGCTTCTTAAGCCCAAGCGACCATTGGCCCAGCAGTCGTACAAGTTGCACTTCGCAAGTGCCCAGGAGCCCCAACCGGCGTACTTCATCGTCCAGTAACGGCGGCGGCGGCGTAAGCAACGGGGTGAGTCTCAGCGGTCGCTTTTGCCGCAAAAGGTAGTTCCACCGCTGGACAAAGTGACGACCAAGGTCACGCGCCGGTTGCCCCGCCGTCATCATGTGGACATCGTGCCACGGCATCCGCGGCACCTTGTTCCGGTCGTACATGTCTTCATAGGGCTTGTCAAGCTCAATGAAGTCCATCACTCTAGGGTTGGAGTAGTCCTTACCCGGGAAGATCTGGAAGTGAGTGAAGTCTTCGGGGTTGCGAGCTTCAGGGTCAAGCAGTTCAAAGTTGATCTTGGAGTCATCGGTAAGCACGTGGTCTGCAGTGTCGAAACGCCCGTAACAGAGATCGATACCACCAACAAAGGCGATGGTGGAGTCAATGATACACAACTTTTCGTGGTGAGCCCAGAAGTAGGTACCCAGGAGAAACTGGTTCGGCAGCCGGAGCACGTGGATGTTGTCCTCATTCATACTCATCAACGAGTGCTTCGTCCACAACGAATCGGTGGCGACGGTGGTACCCACGTTACGGTAAATGACGACGAAAATCTTCACCCCTTGTTGCGCCTTACGCTGCAACACCCGGTCTAAACGCCACTGCTGGTTACCGTTAGCGGGACGTCTCAAGTATAATTCAGGCAGAAGCCACCAGTCGTGGATGAAGATGGTATCTTTAGCCATCTCCAACGCCAGCAGCACCGCCCAGAAGTGATCACGCCCGTCGACAAACCACTTGGCAAAGCAGTTATGGCGGATCGGGGCAAACAGTCCAAACCGATGCGGCTCAGAGTAGATGGTCAGGTTCTTCATGTCGTTCAACAGCTTCACCCACAGGTACATCTCCTTCTCCTTAACGTGGAACACCAACTTACGTTCGCCATTTTCAAGAGTGATCTTGTGGGTGAACGGATTGAGGCTATGGGCTCGCAGCGGGTCTTCGGGCTCGTCCATGTCAATGCAGCGGTCGTCGTTGCGAGCAAGTTCGATTTCGTCGACGGTGCCGTCGTAGTCGATCTTAAACAGCGAGTCGACGAGAAACACGTCGAGGGGGATGGTGGAGTTGATGTTCAGCACGTACATCACGTAGGAGTTGCGCACGAGCATCCACTTGTCCTTACGCCGGTCGTAGATGCCGTATAATTCCTTGGGCTTGAAATGGCCCACACGCCACCCTTGTGATCGGGCAGTGCCGCCCATGTACGCCACCCCTTGTTTACCCATGTACCCTGATTCGTAGCCGAGCAAACACAGAATCGGCAGGATTTCTAAAAAGTAGAAGAGCTTATTCAGCTCGGGACGGAAACTGACGACCTTGATCACCTCCAGCAAGTATTCCCACACCTTGATGATGTATTGGTTATTCTGGCGGTCCCGCTCAAGCAAGCGCAGCGGCGCCAGCGCCGCCAGCTGTCGACTGATCACCGTCAGCAACCGGTGCACCGCCAGCCGCAACAGGTGGCCCAGGTGCAGCGTTAACATCAGGGTATTGTCATGAGCAGCAGCAGCGTTGTCATCGGCTTCTTCAATCTCGCGGGGACGGTTACGCCATTGAGGCGGGTAGGGCACTGTCGGTAATCGCGTCCGTTGTTCGATGTTGTGGTGGCTTGAGTTCCACTTTTGGCCATGCCATTTTTGTTTAATCTTCAAATTGGCGTGAAGTCTGATCAAATCGGACGCCAGACGATCAACGGCCCACTTAATCCGATCGGGACCAACCCCGTATTCGAGACTAAGGCGGAAGCGACGGTTGGCTTTGCGAGGGTCGCCGGTGATATCGGTCACCGTCACCCCTAATAACGTAAGCAAAAGCGGCGATCTAGAAATACCATAATCGTCTTCAAGCAAAAGCAGTGCCAATAAGTTCACCGCCGGCCCCGCCGCCAACAACGTGTTAGTGACGTTTTGAGCGCGGAGAACGGTTTCCATATCGTTTTGAATCTGTCCCTGACTTTTGCGGCGCTGTTGGGGTCCGTACCCCGGCCGTCGCCGAGCGAATTTGGTGAACCGGTGGCGAAACAGCCGAGGGTTATTAGGGTCGTCGGCGACAGTAGGTACCTTCAGTTGACTCTTGAGTCTGGGAGAGATCCACAGCGGGTTGCGCTTAGCCTTAGGAGTCTGCGGGGCATCACCACTAGCAGTGCCATTAGCCTCCACTGGTTGGGCTGGGGACGGCGGAATATCGACGTATTCGCCTTCATCAGGAGCTACACCCCCGATTGAAGGGCGGCGGACACCAGCATCTCCGTTTACGAGCTCTTGCTCCGGTAATGGGCCCAGCGGTTGTAATGGTGCCAAATGGTCCCGCGGACCAGGAGGGACGTCTACCATTGGCTCATCTTCGTCCGAGGGTGCATCGTCGTACTTGTCATCGTGGTGGCGCTGGAAGTGGTGCTCGTGGTGGTGACGTTCGGGGTGGTTAGGGTCGGGATGGTGATGGCGTTCGTGTTCTTCAAAGTACTCCCGTGCCCTGCTTTCAAGGTCCAGCGACCAGCTGTGGCGGTGTTCCAACGGGTCGTGACGGCGCCAGTCGCCAAACCCCATGGGGTTACCGATTTCGGGGGGTTCTTCGCCTCGCACCTGTTCGTACCACTCGTCGGGCAGAGGCAGCCGTTGGGGCCCCGGCAGCGTTACCGACTCCAACGTGTGGAGGATTTCGTCAGCAGAGCGCTCCCGCAACGGGGAGCCCAGGTCTGGCTGTAACGGCATTGGCAATGGCAACTAACGAGGCGGTGGGAGGAGCGGCAACGATAATTCTGTGAACGCTGATGTTTATGCACCGAACAAGAATTGCACACGTGACTATTTGCGCGTGACACAATAAACAGTGTACTCCGAACGCACTGCACCGGAACCCGGCAACGAACGGAACACGGGTAGGCGCCGAACTGGGGTCACAAAACGGTAAATGTCACCGTAAACGTGGCCAATCTTTGCTATTGTTAAACACTACCCTACAACGTGGTGGTAACCGAGAAGATTTGTCGAGAGAAACAGCCGAGAACTTCCGATGTTTTGGTGGGTTGGTAGCGGTAAGCGTGGTGGGGGGGGCTTAGAGGCAGGCGCAGCAATTGTCCTATTCCAAAAATGCGAGTCTAGCCTTACGTGGGCACTACCGCGGCCAGCCGGGCGGCGTGCGCAGAAACGAGCAAGGTAATATACATCGGAGATGACACCAGATCACAATGACAACAGACAATGGGGAGTTGTACCTCGTGATGCGGATTCTACTGTCTGAATGATCATGTCATGAGGGTATAACTGAAAAACCTAGATCGTAGCAGATAATTTATATGGTGATTTCGAGGCTCGCAAATATGCCTAGCCCGAAGATGGCGACATGTATGCTTGATACTTGGAGTTGTCAAGTCGTCGACCAAGGTCATCTGAGTCGTCAATGACACCAACCCCGCAAATTTGAGTGAATCAAACTTTTTATAATTTGAATCGTACACTCTATTATGTTATTAAGATCTACTTTGCCACATTTGACGACTTTTCTACTTGATCTTTCGTTAATCGCACTAAATTTCCCGAGAAGTCGAACGCGCCACATGGAATGAAAAACTATTGTGAGTTCGAGTATTGCAAATATTTAGAAATTTCACCAAAATATTTAGTTTACTTATTTTCTGGATTGAATTCACTGACGAATGATGAATTGAGTCCAAATCACTTTAACTTACATCGCATAGTTACAAACTCCAACTTCATCTATTTCCTTCTGAAACCAAATATGAAAAATTGACACCAATTACTCTCTGGAGAGGACCTCGGTGTCGAGTCTGACTTTGTGGCCCAACCACAACGCGTGGTCGGTGTGGTCCTTAAATTCCCCAAGCTCCAGGTGAGGGTGGATCAATACCAGTAACTTGCCGTGGTTCATTTGGAACCAAGGGACCACCTTCACAAACGACTCCGGCAGGTGGAAGTCAAGCTCCCACATGTTAATTGGGTGGGGGCCAATGGTCTTGTCCCAGAACTTGTACACTTTGATGTCGCCAGCGTCGACCTCGGACTTGAACTCGCGCAAGAACTTTTCGCGGAGATCGAAGGCGGCGTTGCGTTCGGTCTCGCTGTTGTTGTTCCAGTAGGTGTGGACGTCGTAGCTCTTGATGCCACCGTAGAAGGGAGACGAAGGCATGGTGTTAACTGTAGTAGCTGTTGCTGTTAGGCGAGATCGTAGTCGCCGTCGCACTGTCTTATACGACGCTGATTAATAAGCCGCACCCCCTCGCTGCAGGCTAAACCCGTTAAACTCCCAGCAACGTTCGCATATATATCGCCGGCGTCAAACACCCGCTGAGGATTAATAAGCCCTTGGACCACCTCTGACATCACTGCCGCGGTCAAAGTGCACACCAATACCGTCGCTACACGCACGACGTTAACGGGGAGACGCCACAACCAGTAGAACTCGGCGGTAAGCACACCGAACGTGACAAAGTGCACTGCCTTATCGTGAGGCAAATGGATCAGAGCAAAGCCGAGGTACGCCGCCACCACAAGCGACACCACGAACACTATGGTTAGTCATTATGGACTAAGATATCTGGTCAGTTTGTTGGAAGCTTACCTGCAAGTACGGGGAGCCGGATCTGGGGGATCGTCATCATCATCATCATCTTCTTATGGCGCCAGCCTCTTTTTTTCTCTCTGAGTCTTGTGCGAGATACGTTGGTGCGGCTTTCCTGAAGACTCACTAAGAAAAGTGGTGATAATAACCTAAAGATATGAGGGCTAGTCTTCGATGTTGGAATTACAGACGATTTATTCAAGGACCCAAGCGACCGCGACCGACTGGTGTTGCTTTCGATGCGTCAGCAGTAGCCACGCTGCCAGTGATCACTGCTGATCGGCTTACCGAGCATTTTGCCAAAGATGAGTTCACTATCCCTTCAGATAAACTTGTGACGAAATCTCAAACATGGTGGAAACGAGCTGCCCAGGAGATCGAGTGGACTCTAGCTGACTATGACGAGATTCCCGATGTGAAAGTGGCTCGTTTGGAGCAAGAGCGCGAGCTGCGCCTAAAGCAATGGCAACCGGGTGACCCTCCAGTGAGACAAAAGAGATCGACTTACGGCCATAGTCCTAAATGGCTTAAACCGCTACCAGAGGTAGTGATGCTTGGCCACACCAATGCCGGGAAACTGCTGATATTAAATGCTTTACTCCCTAGTAAACCGTTAGCTCGCGTTGCTAAGCGCCCAGGGTATACTAAGACTGTTAATTGCTATAATATTGGTAACCAGCTCCGAGTGCTTGATTCCCCGGGCTACGGCGAGTACGGCGAAGAGAAACAGGGGCAAATGGTGTTGGAGTACCTTGAGAGACGCCAGCAGTGTCGCAAGGCCTATGTGTTAATTGACGCCAAGGAAGGGGTGCTTGAACTTGATTACGATATCCTCGACCATGTCGCTGGTCTTGGCGTGCTGGTGGACGTGGTGTTTACCAAAGTGGACGAAGTAATCTATCGCCACTATTGGCGCCAGGCGAAGGCGATGAAAGGACGCCATTTCCTCAAACGTGACCTTCATCAGATGGTTAAAGATATCAATATTCAAATCATCGCCCACTTCCAACGCCTATTAACCGAGGGAGGCATCGGAGATACCAATTACCCGGTGAATTTGATATTCACCAACTCACAAACGAATAGCTACGTGCGCCGAGAAGGCGGCATCGCGGCGCTCCGCGCCGATATCTTCCGCGCCTGCGGTCTCGATACCCGCTAACTATTACCACTACCGAGAAGTCTTTAACCTTGTATATATTCGTGGATACGTTACTAATTTACATTCGTCCTGGATCTGTGTGTTTTTTCTGTGTCAAAATTGGCCAGCTAGTATCTGCCGCCACGGCCGCCACGACCCCCGCCGCGAGAGAAGCCACCACGACCACCACCTCTCAGGAAGCCGCCACGGCCACCGCCTCTGGGGGCACCGCCACGGCCGCCGCCTCTCAGGAAGCCACCACGCATGCCGCCACGGCCAGCGCCGCCACGGCCGCCACCGGCGCCGCCGCGAGCACCCTTCTTCTTCGGGGGCTTGGGACCCACTTGCTTGGGCTTGGGCAAGAATCTCTCCAACGGCAACAACTTGTCCGGGGCGATGAAGAACTTGTCGCCCTGCTTGAACGACTCGGCCTTGACGCCTTCCGAGGGCTTGATGGTGAAGAACACCTCGTTCAAGGGCCCGAGGATCTCGTCGACCTTACCCACTTGGGTCTTGTTTTCAAGGTAGATGGGGGCGTTGAAGTAAGGGATCTTGACGTTGATCAGGCGACAGACGATGTCGCCTTCGCAAGCGTGCATGAACGCCCCCATTTCGAGCACCTGGTTGGGGGGACCGACGGGGGCAAACGATCTGCCGCCACGCCCTCCTCTAAAGCCGCCTCTGCCTCTGTTCATGGTGGTTCAGTGTGCGGTGTGGGATACAGAAGATGCTCATCGCTTGAAAAAAGTGAAAAGTGCGCCCGCGCCCAGTGCGACGATCGAGAGAGGAGGGAGCACAGTGTGCAATGAATTAAGGAGTGAGAGAGTAAATGAATTATAGGAAAGTTTTTTAGGTCTTCTTGAATTATTGTGCCAAACAGATTAATTTACAATTGACGTTGTTTACACTATTGTCGTATAATTGATAGATAGAGTTTGATCATTAATTAGTGGTATTACCATTAGTACTACTACTCCCTCTCTTTACGCTAACGGCTCAATTCTTTAATTTAATGAGAGTCGCTTGTACCAGCAACCTGAAGATTATCTCCGCGCCGACACATTATGGGCGCACATTTAAGGCGCGTATTATTGACGGCTCCAGCCATCTCCGGCATCCGCGGCGACCATAACCCCTCTAGATCACCGAAATACCCCAAGCGAATACGCCCACTCCAGGGGACAAACCTAGGGTAAAATTAGCACCAACTGGTAAATATCATTTCTACAATGTAGATTCAATGTTCAATTTATGAGTAATCAGCTCACAACTCACTAATTTCCCTTTCCCTGCTGTGTTTGTTATCGGTCACACCGTCGTGTCGTTATCACTTTTTGCGATCGGCTAGCAAATCAGCACGACACACCCGCCCAAGCGCACCCGCAAGCCACAATGAACTCGTCGGCGACCGTGTCCCAATTCCAGGTGGGGCTCACCCCTGATGAGAAAAAGCTCTACTCCCAGTTGTTCAAGCAATTGGACCCGGAAAACACCGGGATCATCACTGGCGACAAGGCCCGCACCACCTTCGAGAAGTCGGGTCTCCTGCCACCGATCCTCGGCGAGATCTGGCAGATGGCCGACCCCAAGAACTTGGGCTTCCTCACCCAGTTCGGCTTCTGCTTGGCCATGCGCTTGATCGGCTACACCCAGCACGGCAAGCACCCGCTGGCGGCGTTGGCGCAACAGCCGGGGCCCTTGCCCAAGTTCGCCGATTTGCTGTTTACTTCGGCGCCTAGCGGCGGCGCCATGGTGGCGCAACTGACCAACGGGCTGTTCATGGGCACTCAGCCACTGGCGTTGATCCCGCAGAACACCGCTACCGGCCAGTTTAAGCCCCAGGAACCTTTGGGCGCAGTGCCGCCTCAGGACGTGGCTAAGTTCACCCAACTATTCACCAAAACTGTCGGCACCCCTCAAGGTTACTTGGACGGCGCCCAGGCCCGCGATATCTTCATCAAGGCGAAGTTGCCCACGGCGACGTTGGGCCAGATCTGGAACCTCGTCGACCGCACCAACTTGGGCAAATTGAACTTGTACGGGTTTGTCATTGCCATGTACCTCATCCAGCAGTTATTAAGTGGTCAAATTAAGCAGTTGCCGCCGTTTTTGCCCGAAAGCTTGTGGCAGCTGGTGGGCGACCCTGGCGCCAGCCGCGTGGTGTCGCAGGCGCTGGTGGCGCTGAACAACACCACCTTGGTCCACGGCCAACCTCAGAGCTCGCCGCAAGCGCCCCGCCAGCCGTCGCAGGCGTCGACCATCGGCTCCTCCGCCACCGCTGTTGAGGACTGGGTGGCCACCCCTCACCAGGTACAACAATTCAACCAGATCTTTACCAATTTGGACAAGAATAAGTCCGGTCAGTTACTGCTGGACCAAGTGGTGCTGTACTTGGTTGGCTCAAAGTTGCCCCAGCAGGAATTGGCTGCCATCTGGGATCTTGCTGACATCCAAAACACCGGCGTTTTCTCGCGGCTTGAGTTTAGTTTGGCGGTGTTCTTGGTGCAAAAGAGCCTCAACGGCGAAAAGTTGCCGAATATCGTCCCCGAATCGTTGCTCAAGTCGTTAACCACTTACCAGAACCAAGTGCAACACACGGCGCCGCCGATGCAACTGCCCCCTGCCGCCCCCGCTGGCGGTGCCGCTGCTGCTCCCGCTGGACCTTCCACGTCGACGCTGCCGCCTCCCTTAAACAAACCCAAGACGGCGATGGACGATCTTGTCGACATTTTCGCTCTGCCCTCTAATAGTCGCCAGGCCTCAGTGGCCCCCGACCCCGCTGACTTGACCCACAGTCTGACCGACATGCCTCGCGTCCGCAACAACTTGACGGGCTCGTTCAAGCCGACGTCGTCGTTTGGCCAGCAATTGATGGGAGACCAGGGCGACTCTCTGGGTGCCGGTGCCACTGCCGGTGCCGCCGCCGCTGGTGCCGCCGCTGGTGCTCTCGGCGCCGCGGCCTTATCCCACTCGCACTCAGCGGTGTCGCCTCAATCGTCGGCGCCGCAATCGCCGCTGAAGCTGGCTAACTATGACGCGTTGCGCAGCATCCCCCCTCCTCGTGCCTCCACTGGCGGCGAGCGGGTGCTGTCGCCGTTATCCCAGCCTCCTTCGCAAACCCAATTGGCTCCTACTAACACCGACTTGTACGCCGATGCCGACCTGAAGGAGTTGTCGCAAGCCACCACTGACGTTGCCAATTACCAGAACCAGATCAAGCTGTTGGCAACGCAAACTACCGCTCTCCACGACAAGCGGGCTCGCCAACAAGAAGAGCTTGCTCGTGTGCAACAGGCTAAGCGCGAGATCGAAGCGAAGCTCGGCAAGTTGCGCCTGCTGTACCAGCAGGAAGTGAAGCAGTCGGAAGAGCTTGAGACGGCGTTGGCTAAGGAACGCGAAGAGAAGGAAGCGTTGCGACTGGAAGCGCTGATTGCCGAAGCCAAGCACCACGCCCTCCAACAAGAGGTGGCGGCGAAGCAAGCCGAACTTGAAAAGTTGAAGCAGGAAAACAAGAGCCACACCGACAAGATGGCCGCCACCAACGCCGAAATCACCCAGTTGGAGCGTGACTTGGAGCTGCACACCCTGAGCCACACTCAACTCACCAACCAGGCTAACGTCAAGAAGAGCCAATTGCAAGTGGTGTTGGTGAAGGTGCAAGAATTGCGCCTGAAAATTGCCACCATCCAACAGGAACACGGCGACTTGCAAAAGAGCATCACTGACAGCGAGCAACAGCACGCTCAGCTCGAACGGGAAATGGCGGAATTGCACCAAAAGGGGCAGACGCTCACTTCGAGCCACCAGGATTTGCAAACGAAGCATCAACAAGTCAAGGCTCGTTATGCTCAGACGCAAACCTCGTACAACGAGTTGCAACAGCTGCACCGGCAATTGCAAGACCAGCACGCCCAATTGCAGCAGCAACACGCGCAATGGCAGCAGAAGGCCACCGAGGCCGACTCCCAGTTGGCGCAATTGCAACAGGACCACACGTACACCCAACAGCAAATTGCTACTCAGCGCCAGGCGTCGTCGGGTAGCGGCGCCGCGGTCGGTGTAGCTGCTGGCGTTGCCGTTGGTGCCGCCGCTGGCTTGGCCGCTCGTGGCCTTTCTCGCGAGTCTAATGACACCATCGAGCAGCAACCGCACCGCCTGGAGCCGCTGGTGGGCCACGGGTCGCTGGTGGCTACTGACTACAAGCACGACAACCAGGACACCCCCGTGACCCTGCCGCTGGGCTCTGAGCTCGGCTACGGCCAGGGCAACGCTGGCGTCATCGGCGGCATGGTGGGCATGCCCGGTGTCCCCATCGGCGTCCAGCGCACTGATCTGCTCACGCTGCTGGTGCAGAACAACGCCCCCCTCTCCGTTAGAGACGACAACTTGGACGATATCAACGACCGTGATGTCGCCGCTCACGCTGACTCAGAACAAGTGAGACTGGGCGGCATCGCCGTCAAGCTGGACGAGGCGCTGGAGAAGCCGACGCTGCTGGGAGGCGAGCTGTTTGAGTTTGTGTCGCAGGAAGACGCAAAGAGCCTGCCTGGCGTCGAGCCCCAGACGTCCGCTTCTGCTGTTGCTGGTGGTTCCCGCGGTTTGGCCGAGGAAGAGTTCCCTCCCATCCGTGAATTGGAGATTGACGAACTGGACTCTGACGACGACGACGACGGCCGTGGTGACCAGTTTGACGACGCCCGCTCGTCGTTGCCGCTGGCGCTGCGCAAGGTGCTGGCTGCTGGGGTGGCCTCGCCGCCGGCGGTCATGGACGACTTTGACTCTAACTTCGAGAACTTAACCGTGGCCACGCCCGAAGTGAAGGAAAAGGACATGTTCGATGACTTTGACAACCTTGAGAATGCCGACGAAGGTGCTGGCGACGAGGAGTTCCCTCAAAACGATTTCTCGTTCTCGAACGAGTTTACTGAACAATACGGCGGTGGTCGCCCTCAATCCACCGCCCAAGACAAGGACGAGTGGGAACAGATCTTTGCCGGTTTTGGTAACGCCCAACCCGGTGCTGCTGGTGTTGCTGGTGCTGCTGCCGGTGCTGCTGCCGGTGGTGTTGGTGTTGCTCGTGGTGCTATTGGCAGCGACGGTCTTCCTGTGGACGCTCCGGCGTACTCGGAGTCGCCTCACATGGCGGCCCCGGCGCAATTAGGCGGGCAACTCCCCGACCTGGGTCCCATCCCTCAACACCACACTCCCAGCGGCGCCAACCAGGGCCAACGGAAGGCTGCGGAAGCGCTTTCGCTGGAAAAGGAAGCGGCGGTGGAAGAGCTTGTGGGCATGGGCTTTGACCACGACACTTCGCTCCAGGCGTTGAAGCAACTGAACTGGGACTTGGCTGAGGCTACTAACTACTTGTTGGACAACGCATAATTCTTGCTGAATGTATTCTTTACTTTTTTGTATGATTTAATTTAACACTGTTGTAGATTGCCTAACTAGGGGTGTAGAGCTAGGGTGGCGAACCCTAGTTCACGTGACCTTAGAGTTCATGGAGGCGAAAGTCACTAAATTTACCAATTAATAGGACAGTGAAGGGCGTATATAGACACGAGTAATAATAAAGAATGCTATAATACACACAGTTGTACCAGTGGGTGGTGGTTGCTTAGTTTTCCAGCTTCTCTTTGAATCGGCTTCCTGCACACACCGCGATGGTGCACCTTTAAAAATTTTCAGCAGCGCAATGCGAAAACCACTTGGACGAAGTTTCATACTGACAAGCCACCATGTCTGACACCGAAGTTATCGAAGAAGTTCCCCAACAAGAAACCCAAGACCAATCTGTGTCGATCGAAGACTGCCTCAAGGTTGTCTTGAGAACCTCGTTGGTCCACGACGGTTTGGCCAGAGGTTTGAGAGAAGCCTCGAAGGCTCTCTCGAAGAGAGAAGCTCAACTCTGTGTGTTGTGCGACTCGGTCACCGAAGACTCGATCATCAAGTTGGTCGAAGCCTTGTGCAACGAACCCGAACAAAAGATCCCCTTGATCAAGGTTTCGGACGCCAAGTTGTTGGGTGAATGGGCCGGTCTCTGCCAATTGGACAGAGAAGGTAACGCCAGAAAGGTCGTCGGTGCCTCGTGCGTCGTCGTCAAGAACTGGGGTGCCGACTCCGAAGAAAGAAACGTGTTGTTGGAACACTTCTCGCAACAATAAGCGTGTGGGACCTAATAGAGTTTTAAATCAATATACACCGTAATCTTTCCTACCATTGTAAAATTCATCAGATGTGTCGTTTAATTTTTGATTTACGTAACAAACATGGCGAGGGAGAACCGTGTGATGTATAGAGTACGATCACGGGTTTAATCACGGGTTTAACAGGGACCACGGAAAGTGCGCCCGTCCTTGCCGGCCAACCTCTTGGTGGTCTTTTCCTGTTCGAGCTTCAAGTTGTCGAGCCCGCCCGTGGTGATCAGCATCAACATGTCGCGGATCAACGCCGAGATCTCGTGGGAGTCCTTGGCGCCTTCCTCCTTGTTGGCGATCTTACGCACCTCCTTACACGCTTGCATGAGGGTCTTGGTGATCTCGATGATGTCTTCGATCAACTTCTCCAACAACGACATCAGCATCGAGATACGCACCACCACCCGCAACACCTTGGTGTCGCCTTCGTCAGGGGGCAAGTGGTAGTTGGGGACGATGATCCCCTTGTTACGGAGCATGGTCGACACCAATTCCTGGGGGATTTCGGGGTATTCTTCCTGGAACTCGTCGGAGAAGGTGAACGCGACCACGGGGAGACCGGGCTTAAAGTGTTCGTTGACGTTGTTGGGGTTGTGGGTCTTCTTGTCGGTGTAGTAAATCTTCTTGCTTTGGTCGGTGATCTTCTTGTTGATCACCGACAAGCACTTGTAGTAGCCCGAGGCCTCGAGACAGTCGGACAAGAGTCTGGCATTGGAGAGACACCCGTCGAACACCACCTGGTACCCTTCGAACCCGAGGTGCAAGAAGTTGTAGTATTGCATGATCACTTGGAAACCAGGGCGAGAGAAGTTAAGCCCGAAACTCTCTTCGGTACCACCCAAGTAGTCCAACGAGAATCTAAGCGACTCGGGCAACCGTTCTCTACTTCTCCAGATCACCCACCCCAAACCGACGGTGGTGAGCCCGTACTTGTGACCACTGGTGTTGATGGAAACGACTCTGGGCACACGGAAGTCCCATTCGATCGAGGGGAAACAGAAGGGAGCGACAAACCCACCCGAGGCGCCGTCAACGTGGATGGGGATGTCATACCCCTTTTCCTTTTGCACTTCGTCGAGCAAGTCGTTAATGTACTTGACGGGTTCGAACGCCCCGGTGAAAGTCAGCCCCATGATCACAAACACACCAATGGTGTTTTCATCGATGTTTTCTTTGATCTTGGTGGTGTCAATGACATGGTTGGTGTTCAGCGAGATGGGGATCAACCGGTTCTCGACGTCAAAGTAGTTGGCGAACTTCTCCAACGCCACTTGGGCACACAGCGCCATCAAGATGTTGGGTCTAAAGTAGTCCTTACCTTCAGCCTTGCGCTTCGCTTGCCAGGTTCTCTTCATAGCAAGCCCGGCCAACATGATGGCTTCAGAAGAACCGGTGGTGGCAGTGCCGATGGCGGTGTTGATCAAGTCGCCGTTCTCGTTGCGCTTGCTGGGAGCGTGCCACAAGTTACCGAGCATGGCGACACAGCGGTCCTGGATCTCAATCAAGGCGGGGTACTCGTCGTTGTCACTCAAGTTCTTGGTGAAATTGTCCAAAAGCAACTTCTCCATCGTTTCCGACAGACTGGTGTTGACGAACGACGCCAAATTCAAGGTGGGGGTGCCGTCCAAGGTCAATTCCTCCTCGATGGTGCGGTAGACCAACTTGGAGTTGGCCGGTCTTTCGGGGATCTCGTAGCGGGGCACCAACACGTTCGAGTCGTACTCGAAGTAGAACTCCTCTTCCTTCGAGGTGCGGTACTGCTGGTTCTTCTTCAAGAATTGGGTGATGAAAGTGTCGGCATTGACGTGTTTAGACAACGGCATCGTTAACGGCGGTTAGAGGGGGTTTGTCTGATGGGGGTTTATGCCCGATTTTAGTTTGCTTTTATAGTAGCAATTGCTCTGCATACAGCCCGCTTATCGCCCATTATGCTGGTATGTCTCACGGGCGTTACGGAGTTATGTGACCGGAGTTTATTTTGACAGCTGGAGATCGAACCACAAAGGCCGGTGTCTCTGTTCCCCTATTGAGGGGATTTCGTCGTCGCTGCAAGCAATGATGTCAACCGCCTCCCCCACATGGCTCGCTAGCACCCGGTGCGGACGGGTGTCCCCCACGGAGAAACACTGCCTAGCCGGCAATGTCCGCCGACAGTTTCATGAGACAATATGCATCGGCGGTCCCAGGACACGACATCGACGCCCCGTACCCGTGGGCATCCGGGCCGGTAGCCTCATGGCCGAATAAGCCACCACCTCGCAGATTCCGCGCCGACACCGATGGTCCCGACCATTTCGGTCGATAAAGATCTCGGAGAAGGAAATTAGCACCAGGCGGAATTAGCGGTCATGATTTTGAAGATACCGTTCGTCGTTTACTATTATATCTATCTACTCAACGTCGTCAAACTTCTGGTCGGTCAAGTCGGGGATTTCTTCGTCGCCGCCTTGAGGCATCGAGGCGGCCAATTCCTCAGGGGTCTTGCCGGCCTGGATCTGTTCGGCCAACTTTCTCAAGATTTCGAGGTTTTCGGCGCCCAATTGAGGCAAGATTTGCGGGATCAATTGGGTGACGTCCTTTTCTTGAGGGTAGCCGGTGAAGGCGAAAGTGTTCGAGGCAGCAGCGCCGGTGACACCGACTCTGGGGAAGTGCAACACCTTGCCGTCTTCTCTGAAGAAGTTGGCTTCTTCGATGTTGTCGATCTTGGTGGCCTTGATCTTTTGCAAGGCTTCGAACAACTTGGTGTCGTCACCGTCGGTCTTGATGGCCTTCTTGGCCTTGACACGGGAGCCACCCACCTTCTTGGGGGCGGACTTTTGCAACTTGGCGAGCTTTTCGGGGTCAACAACCATGTTCTATTCAATGGAGAGGATTTTTCATTTTGGGGATGAAAAAATTGTCGACGGCGAGCCCAGGGTCACGTGACAATTTGCACTGAGGGTTGAACCTAATAGCAAACCATCAAACGACTAAAACCTAGAGGTAGAGGTAGATTAAATTAATAGCATCTTATTATCCTTTATCTACTCTTCAAAAGTGTTTGTCTGTTTGGTCAGTTGATCAACTTACACTAATTTGATACCGTCAACACTTCCCCGCAATCCACCACTTTCTCTTTACACCGATCTTCACCGACACGGTAAGCATATACGAAACTCAAGCAAGCAAGTATGACAATGTACATGTCTCAGGATGTGTGCTTTGTGTTGACTCGATAATCTTCCGCAATAGTGACATGTTATAAAATTTTGTCAATTAAGCAAAATGGAAAAATTTTGGAAACTAATCATCTATAATCAAAATAAAATTACCGTTATTGGGTGTAAAACACAATATATATGCTAAAATGACACGTTTTGACCTCTAGAAGTTGAATTCGAGCCGGAAAAAACCCGCAAATTGCACTTACACTCCCCTGACAATACAAACAGGCCAATTTATTAAACCTGTTGTATTAAGTTGGGTGAAAGTCGTGTACTACTCGAAATAGCCAAACGTAAAAAGGGCG